TCACTTTTAGCATCAAATTTGCCAAGATTGTCTTTACCGTTGTTTAAAACAAAACATTTACATCCAAAATGATGAAAATAGCTAATGTTAGGCTTTTTAATTTTGAAAAGTTCATATGGAGTTTTCTTTAAAATATGCCTAATCATTACTCGATTAATAACATAACAAGCGGTATTTGTGGCTTCCGCCCAAAAATATTTTGGCAAATTGTTTTCACAAAGCATGGTTCTAGCCATTTCTTCTAAAGTTTGATTTTTCCTCTCAACAACTCCATTTTGTTGAGGGGTTCTGGGTGCTGAAAAGTTATGGCTAATACGGTTAGAATCACAAAACTCAGTAAATCCAAGATTTTTAAATTCAGTTCCATGATCACTCCTAACACTAGTTATAGAGTAACCTTTTTATTTTGGGTTACTTTTGAAAACGTGATGAATTTTTCTAATGCTTCATCTTTAGTACTTAAAAATAGAACCCAAGAATATCTAGAATAGTCACATACCAAGACAAATGCATATTGTTTTCCACCCAAGCTAGTAGTCCCAATTGGCCCAAAAAGATCTATATGGATCAATTGTAATACTCTACTAGTTGATACATCATTAATGGATTTAAAAGAAACTCGCTTTTGTTTTTCTTTAGCACAAGCATCACATATTTTATCATTATCAAATTTTAGTTTAGGCAACCCTCGAACTAAATCATCTTGAATTAGCCGTTGCAAAACACTCATACTAGTATGTCCTAGTCTCCTATGCCATAATCAACTATCATGCTCATCCTTAGCAACTAGGAATAAATTAGTCATAACAATAGAGTCTAAATGCACCATGTAAATGTTTCCTATTCTATGACTAACAAGCATGATCCGATTAGATGCGATGTCAATAACTTTACAACCATTAGTTTCAAACACGACATTGAATCCCTTATCACAAAATTGACTAATACTCAAGAGATTATGCTTTAATCCATTCACATATAAAACATTTTTAATTTGTATGGAAGAGGTATTACCTATAGTACCTATACCTTTAATGTGACCTTTTGAATCATCACCAAAAGTCACTTCTCCTCTATTTTTGGCGTTAAGCTCAATGAACCGACTTTTGTCCCCGGTCATGTGTCTCGAGCATCCACTATCAAGGTACCATGAGTTTGAATTTGTTTCCCGTGCCTTGTAGCAATACTCCTTTTCCTACAAACATATATTAACTTTTTATTTTTGGTACCCAAATTCTTTTGGGTCCATATTCATTAGTTTCCAAAATCCTAGTCCCCTTAGGTATCCATTTGTGTATGATATCCTTATCTTTAGTAGTAATGAGTTCTTTATGAACCCATATACTTCTAATGATTTTTCCATTAGAGGTTCTTTGGGGACCTCTATGATTGTAGTTTTTAAAACTTTTTCTAACAAAGTTGGATTTTGAATTTTCTCATTTTTCAAAATGTTTTGTTCCAACTTTATCAAAAGAAGCTTTAAGATCATAAATTTTCTTTTAATGATCATCATTAACCTTTGAAAGTAAATTTTACAAATTTAAAATTTTCTTTTCAAACTCTTCTAGTTTGATTTGCAAATATTTGATTTTACTTTCAAGATCATTGTTGGTTTTGGATATGAGTTTATTTTCATTTTTCAATTTTGAAATATCATTTTTATATTTTAAAAATAATTTCTCATAATCTGAAGCCAACCCATTATATTCCTCTAATAGCTCATCATAAGATAAATCATCAAAATCAGATGAGTTAGAGGTTACCTTAGAATCTTCCCTGAATGCCATCAAGCACAAAGTTTGCTACTTCTTGTTCCTCTTCATCGGAACCTTCTTCAACGCTCCATGTAGCCACATGAGCCTTGGGCTTATTCTTTGATTGACCCTTTCTCTTCAATTGTGGGCAATTATATTTGACATGCCCCGGCTTTTTGCATTCATAGCAAATGATCGAGTCCTTCTCTTTTGGTTCATTTTTGAGGCCTTCATTTCGTTTGAATTTTATTCCTCAGTAAGGTCTCATCATTTTTCTAAACCGTTTGGCAAACATTGTCATTTCCTCATCATCGTCATCTTCATCCGAATCACTCTCATCTTTTGTGGATTTGAGAGCAACTCCAATGTTTTTCTTCTTCTCCTTCTCCTTTGGAGTCTCTTCAATCTTATCGAGATCCACCTCATCTTCAAGCATCATTTCATGAGTTAGAAGAGAATCGATTAGCTCTTCAAGAGTTAATGACTTTAGATTCTTAGCTCGATGATTGTTGTCTTCTTGGATTGCTATGATTTTGGAAGTGAGTAAACTAACTTCCTCACAAGCTTCTCGTTTGAAATTATCTCTCCATATGATTTGAGACCATTGACAATCGTTGAGAATCTATCCGCCATAGCTTTAATATCTTCATTTGGTTTCATCCTGAAATTTTCATAGCTATGTGTTAGAAGACTAATTTTAGATTCTTTTACCTCGTCGGTGCGTTCATGAGTGACTTGTAGTTTATCTCATATTTCTTTGGCGGTTGTACAAGATGAAACTCTTTCATATTCATCTGGTCCAATAGCACAAAATATGATGTGGATGACTTTGGAGTTGAGCTGGAACATTCTTTTCTCTCCTTCACTCCATAATCTTGGATGAGTGAGAGGCTTGATATATCCATCTTCTACAACATTCCATGCTCCCATGTCACTAGCTTGAATGAAATACATCATCCTATTATTCCAATAGGCATAGTTAGCTCCATTGAAGAAATGAGGCTTGTTGACGGCATCGAATCGAGACCGGAGTTGGTGTTTGAAGTGGAGGCCATTGACGACTTTGATTATCGATGTAACTCATCCCGAATCGACTCAAGAGGTGATTAAACCTTCAAATGAGTGAGGCTCTGATACCAATTATTGAGTTAATCGATCGACGGAATCGGCCAATAGGAGGGTGAATTGGCAATTAAAAAATTGGTGGAAGCTTTTATAGAAAATTGAAAAGATTTACACAGCGATTTAGAGTGGTTCGACTTTCCAACTAAAGTCTATATCTACTACCTTAGCTATCCACACTAAGGATTTTCTAACAAATTCACTAATTTGTTCTTTCTTTTGAGGCCAAAGATATAACCTTACAACACCCTCAAGAATATACCCCAATTCTTGAGAACACTCTTTCCCAAAGAGAAGATTACAAATTTGCAAACTTACAAGGAAATCCTCACAAGGTAAATTGCTTGCACAATTCTAGAACAAATAAAAGAACACTCAAGAATGAATACAATTGAGTACAAGTAGTGTTCTTGAAAGCAAAATGAATATTGAATGAAAAATAGGCTTGAAATGCTCAAACTTGAGGTTTGATGCTTTCTCTTTGATTCTAGTTGCTTGTTGTTTCTTGTTTTTGATCAATGGCTTCTAAGCTTATTTAAATACACCTTCAAATGATTCTGAGCGTTGGGGATGATTAGTGGAGTCAATAGAGCCGTTTAAGTGTGAAAACAATTAATATTAGTGGTTGGGAGCGTCTCATGCATCGATGCATACCCTAGGTGCATCAGTGCATCAAGTGTAAAATTCAAATATTTTGACCGTTGGACTCTCAGTGCATCGGTGCACTAAGAGTGCACCGATGCATAAAATGCATTCGATGTTTTGAAAAAGCCTGAGTGCATCGATGCATGGTCTTGTGCATCGATGCATCAAATGCACTAAATGCATCGATGCATGGTCTTGTGCATCGATGCATCAAATGCACTAAGTGCATCGATGCATGATATGTGCATCGATGCATAAAATGCATTCGATGTTCAATTAATTCCATGGTGCATCGGCGCATTACTTTGAAAATTTGATTTTAGGCTTGATTTTGGTTCAAAATACTTTGTGAAAATTGTTTCAAAAATAGTTTAAGTATGAAACACAAATTTACACATTTAGTAAGGTTTAAAATTGATCTTGAAAGACTTGGAGTAATAATTTGATATTCGAGTAATTAAATCGAATATACTTAGAAAATCATTTGTAAAATCTTAAAATTCATTTATACTTAGTTTGTTATATCGAAACATCAAAATATTTTCAACATACTTTTTTATACATGTATGTATAATTAAATCAGTAAAAAAGATAACAAAAATTTTAAAAAACAAATAATTATTATCATGTTGAAGAAATAAATGAAAAATACTTTATTAAAAAACTTTAATAATGAAAAAGACCTTAATAGAAAACTTTAATAAAAAAAATAAAAAGACATCATTATTAAACAGCTTTAATAAAAAAATAAAAAAATAATGATAAAAAAATGGTAAGTTTAGTAAAAGATTTGGACATAATGATAAAAAACTTTAATAAACAAATAGAAAAACATAATGATAAAAAATAATAGGTTTAGTAAAAGATTTGATATATTTAGACTAATCCAATAAATAATTATTACCATGTTGAAGAAATAAATGAAAAATACTTTAATAAAAAACTTTAATAATAAAAAAGACCTTAATAGAAAACTTTAATAAAAAATAAAAAGACATCATTATTTCATAATGATACAAAACTTTAATAAAAAATAGAAAAAATAGAATGATAAAAAAATGGTAGCTTTAATAAAAGATTTGGACATAATGATAAAAATCTTTAAAAAAAATGAAAAAAATATAATGATAAAAAAATGGTAGGTTTAGTAAAAGATTTTGTATATTTAGACTAACCCATCAGTATTTTGTGGGAAATTAATGTTTTGTTAGTGAATAGTGCCTCAGAACTTGGAAGTATTTGCTTGTGCAATTTGTGCAATGGGGGATATTTCTTTGCTGAACTATGTGCCAGAACTGGTTCTCAGATCCTTGTTTTTGTTTTGTTCTCTTGAATTCAAATCAATATTCACTAAGTTATTATTTGTCTCCAACTTGTTGTGATATTGAGAGAAAGTCATTGTATCGATTATCGAATATGTAAATTCTTGAGGATCTTTTTCAGACTCATTTATATGTTTTCTGTTTCTGTATTTTATAGGCTGTTGCAAAACAATAAGTTGTCAGGTCCCATTCCTGATGAGATAGGGAAGCTCCCAGAGCTTCAAACACTTGATCTTTCTGGTAACCAGTTCGTCGGAGTAATTCCAAGATTTTGGGCTCTCTAACTCATCTAACTTACTTGTGAGTTGATTCGAAATTTATGTTGGTGCAATCTTATAGCTTTTTGTTGTGTATGTGTGTTTCCTTAATATATGCATTCAAAAATCTTATCCATCCTTTTTTCAGGCGGCTTAGCAACAGCAATTTAACTGGACCTATTCCTGGAACCATTGCGAATCTCACTGGTCTTTCGTTCTTGTACGTATTCCTCGTGTCACTGGATTTCTAGTTCAGACTGCTGTGAAGTGATGATATTATTAACTTCTATGATATTGTTGTAGGGATGTATCCTTTAATAACCTCAGCGGTCCTACTCCAAAAATCCTAGCAAAAGGTTATAGGTAAGCTTCCTTGCAGAAAGAAGCAATTTTATTCCATATCAACAAGCCTAATCTCGAATGCTCTCTTTCCTATTTAGAATGATCTTTCTGATAAATCATTTTTGTTCACGTCAAGCTCCATGTACTTTTTCATTATGTAGTTGTTGACACTAATTTTTGTCCCGTTCTCGATACTAATTATATTTATTATTAATATATATATTATTATTATATTATTATTATTATTACAAATAATACAATAAAAATGAAGGTCCAGTTACATCAATTTCGGTGGCCCAAATAATACAACAAACTTGGAGCCCATTTTACAAGATCAACCCGGTCTAGGCCCAGACCCGGTTTAAGCTCAGATGACCCAAACTCGATTAGGGTTTTCACATCTCATCTCAGCCGCCATCATCTAAAACCGTTAGATCTGGAGAGATCCAACGGTCCAGATTCGTACAATAGAAACCCTAGGGTTTCACTAACCCTAGTGGATATTTCAGCCGCCGCCTCCAGGTGCCCCAACTGGTGACTACCACGACGCCGCCGCCTCTAATAGAAGGATCCAGAAGAAACAAGGAGAACCGCACACCTCACCCTATGGTGAGTCACCATTGTAGATCCGGTGACTCACCAAAATGAACGATCGTCCAAGATCTTTCGAGGGCTATAAAAAGCCTTGATTTCCCTATAAAAAAGGGAAGGGGGTGAATGGCAAGAACGGGAAGAGAGCAAACAATACCAACGAGCAATAAACAAACCAAAAGGAGAAGAAAAGAAAGGAAATCTTACCTTCATCGAAGCCTAAACGTCGTCAGAAAAGTTGTTTTACCGAAGGTAAAATCTTAGATCTAGGTCGTTTTGAATTTTTTTAGAAAAAAATGAGGGTGGTTTCAGGTTTAAGGTGTTTTGATCTACGTTTTGAGCTATTTTGATTTTTTCCGACCATGAATAGTGATCGGAATAGTGACCGCCGGCATGAATAGTAATTGATGGTGGCCGAAATATTAACCAAAATAGTGATCGGCCGGTGATCAGAGTTCCCTCCGGTGAGAGAATTTAGAGAGAAGTGAGAGTTTCTCTCTCTTTAGAGAGAAGCAAAATTGAGAAAATGAGAAGAATTGGCTATTTTGAGCTAAATTTGACTTATTTATACCCAAATCAAAACTACGTCGTTTGGGAGAGAGAGTTTGTGTGTACGTTTAAGATTGATAAATCACGTCCATGATCCCTATGTTCTGTAATTTTTCATTATAGTCACCAAAATTAGGTTTCTATATCTTTTAATTTTGTTTTCGTATTTTAGTTATTTTTATTTTAGTCATTACCCGTATATTATATATATATAAATAATATTTTAGGATTATTTACACTTTTAATATATATATATTTTATAATAGTAATGTTCGATCTGAAATAATTAAATATTATTGTTTTCAATCTTAACTTTATTTTATATTATTATTTTGAAATTTAGAATGGAATTCCAATATTTCTTTATTTCGATTGAAGTAAGAATCGATTGCTTTAAGGTATGATAGATCGATTCTTCTCGATAGGAAATAATTAAATATTTTTATCTTTCATCCAAAATTTCAAAGAACATTATTCTAGGGGATCTTAAATTAAGTTAAACTCAAACTTGTACATTTTATTGCAAAGACAATTAATTAATCGACTAGGTACCGATTTAGGGCGTTGTGAGGGTGAAAATCCTTCCCCACAAGTAATCGACTCCCGAACTCAAAATTTGGTAACGCATACCCCAAGTTTGTCTTTTTAATTAAAATTAATATTTTATTAAAATGACAAATTTATTTTTGGGTGTCCAATCACACCCTAATCAAAGATTAGTGGTGACTCCGCAAACCACGTTTTCATCACAAATTTATCACTAAAATCATTTTTGAAGCGGGATCACCTCTTTCCCCATCGGGTCAGAGGCCGTTTCGACAGCTTAGCGACTCCACTGAGACCTGTTTTTAGAGAGTCAGGCCACTAGTCGATTAATAAATTGTCTTTGCAAATAAAATTGCAAGTTCGTTCTAATTTGGTTTTTGATCCAGTTTTATTTGCATTTTAACTCTTAATTTTCTTAACCACTAAATAGTTGTACTAATCTATTTGCTAATTTTTCAGATTAAATAATTGTTCAAGGTATTGAGTTTTCTGTTCAGTGTTGTGTGCTTTGTTTTAGTTTTTCCTCACACACTGCACAACTGCATTTGCATAACATGAGCTAAAACCTCACTCCGTCCTATCTAAGTTAGAGTAAGTAACTACTCCTTCGTGTGGTTTTCACCTCCGTGCGGGATAGTGAAACTCTCTTTGGGCTCACGCCTTATGATTTTCGTGAGGTTTTCACCTCCGCAATGACATAAGGAAGTGTGTCCCTTCGAATTGAACTCGATTCGAAAGTCTGTGATGGGCCAGGATTGAGGGCTTTGTAGTCCAAGGGGGCACCAACAAAGGACAATTCGTTGACCATTTTTTACCTTTAGATCCAAACCCAGCATATAATAAAGCTAGAACTTGAGTCTAGTCAGAGCCTCACCCAAATAAGTCTCGTAAGGTTAGCACACAAGGAAAAGCATGTTGCGTCTTTTAATTTACTTGATATTACTTTATTTTTCGAACAAATGTACGCGAACTAGAAATCATGCGGTTAGGTTTATTTTTCCAAACAAAGCATGGAACTATAAAGCATGAAGTTAGGATTTTTATATAGATACCATTATATATAGGATATTTTCTTTCCATTAATTGGTACTAACCATTTTATTTTTATTATATTTATCTATTTTAGATATATTTTGTTTTACTCTAACTTATTTATATTGATTTCTTTTGTTTGCATGGCATGATCATGACACGATTAGAAGGTGTTAATTTAAGAGTGATCGTCAAAATAAAAGATTTTCATTATGGATAAAGGGTTTCATGATCAAGTAAACTATAACACAGCTAGGGAATGACATCCTAAGAAAACTCCGAGGATAGAAGAGAGTTATGTGCCCAAAGATCGTATTTCCTTTGAGGAGTAAAAGGATATACAAGAGATAAGAGAGCAAATGACCAAGATGATGGATAGAATATATGTTTTGGCCAAAGGAAAAGAGACTCATGCACAAAGAGAGAGAGCTCAATGAACCTAATCCTGCAATCTCAGATATACAAGGAACTTCTGATTCTAGCCAATTTGAGAAATCAAGCACAATCATCATTCGTATCAACAAGTTGTCTGGAGACCCCAAGGAAATGGTGACAACTATAGAAGTCCAGAGAGATGAAAAGAAGTTATGCAATCAGAAATCATAGGTATTTAAGAGTCTTTTCCCAGCACTGGAAACTCAAGATCGATCCAAGACGAAAGGTGATTCTCATTTTAATGATATCCCTATATCATATAAGGAGTTGTACAAGAAGCTACTAGAAGCGCGAGAGGTAGCTCCACACTATGTGAAACCGTGGCAACCTCTATATCCGAATTGGTATGATGTCAATGTTCATTGTGAATATCATGCCGGAATTCAAGGACATTCCATTGAGAATTACACCTCTTTCAAGCATCGAGTTCAAAATCTTTTGGATTATGGAATTTTAGAGTTCAAGGTAAAGAAACGACCTAGTTTGGTTACTGATTATCCTACCAGGTTGATATCAAATGTATTCAAAGGTAAGAGTATTAGTGAGAGAATCCAAAAGAAAGAAGATCTATAGAAATATGAGGCTCAATTTCATCATTTGAAAATTAAAAATGATAAATTGAGTACAGAAATGGATACCATACGTAAGGATTTCCAAAAGATTAGTCAAACCTTTCAAAAGGCTAGTTTAGGAAATACCCCAGAAGAGTGGACAATAGGAGTCACTAAACTGAAGAAAGATGTTGAACACTAGAAAAAGAATTGCAAGGTGCATGAGGACGAGCCAAGAAATTCTCTAATGATTTGCATATTACAGAAAAAATACATGATATAGCTGTTAATGATTTGGGAAGATGTCAAGCCAAAAATCAGATTTTGAATTTGTCCATAGCTAACATGGAGGCTTCATATCAACACCATAAGCATGAGGTTGATGCTGAGCTAGAAGTCACTAGAGTCAGGAACAATCAATTGATGAGGATGGTAGATACTTTTGAAAATATTGCCCAAAGATTTCATAACAACAAAGATTTTCTTATGAGGAAAAATGAATAACTTCGTTTACAGCTCCAAGAATTGACACATAAGAAGGAGAAAAAAGATAACTTCATGAAAGAAGATATGATCCAATCAAGCCATTTGGCTCACAAGTTGATTGATCTAGCTAGCTTTGCAAGAGAATTGGGGCAGATGGACAACTCAACACTCGAACATGAGTGGAAGTTAACTTGGCTTTTGAGAGAGATAGAGAAGTTAGGAGTTAAAGCTATTCCTCATGTGTAAAGTTGTTTGATGTATCAAAACCTTTATGTTCAATGAAAGTTGTTTTAAGATGATCACTCTGGAATGACACCTTTTGCATACATGCATTTGCATCACATTTGTTTATTTAAGCATTTTACATGCACTAGTTATGAAAACATGAAAATAATTTATGAAAGGTTATGTGACAGTAATATAAAGATCATTTATTCATACTACTTCCTCATCATCATGAACAAACAACTGGAAGCAATGGAGCAATCTAATGAGAAATCACAAGATCAATTGCAAGAGTAGTTGGTCGGGTTACAACAAGATACGAGAAATCTGGCATCAAGTTCTCTACAAGCCGTATCAAATCAAATGATCTAGGTGTTGGCACCACAAGCTGCTGGTAAAGAGAAAATAGAAGGAAAAGGAAATCAATCTCATCAAACTGATACATCAAGAGTGATAATTTACCCTAGAGCATCTAACTTAGACATAGGGATAAGCCTCGTAAATTTTGAGCAATTTGAAGACGAGTTCAAGTGGTTGAATGAAGCCATTAAGGATATGAAGGTTGTCAATGCCTCTCATAAGGAGTTAGAAGCTAGAGAACTCAGT